CCCTTCTTGCAACCAAAACCGCAACTCACCTTGAACAGACGGTGATGGAGTCGACGCCGGCGAACAAGAAAAATACGGGAGATAGACGAAATTGTTACGGTTTGGTTTTCGATTTTTCGCAAATAAGAACCTGAAATCGCGAAGAAGAAGAACACGAGAGCGGGTTTTTTTTCTTTCCGTTTTGTTTGATTTTTCAAGTCTTTATCAGTTTTTTTTTTTGGTTCCGGTTTTCTTGGTAAATTTGCAGATTCATTAAGGGTAATTTCGTATTTAACCGTTTTTTGAATTAAAAAAAAAATCAAAACATGGTTGGTCGAATATTTTAAAAAGAAAAAAAAAAGAGAGGAAGTTTGGTCGCAATTTATGTCCAATTAGATGATCATGGTTGGTAATTCCATAGATAATGACATTTAATTTGACTTTTTATCGTATCAATCAGATGACTTCCATTACTTATCTTCTGGATTAAATAACCATATAACTTATTTACCTTTACATCGAAATTTCGGCGTGAATATATTGTGAGTATGTACTTGGTCAGTTTTTATCGTTTGAACGTTGAAGTTTCAAAAAAATATTGATTTACATCCTTGCATCACTAGTGCCACTAACTATTTTCTCGTTAGAGAACAGCTAAGAATTTTTTTTTTCCTAAGACCATATCACTTCCTTTTTAATGTAACTGCTAAGAATTGTTTTTAATGTAGCTACATTCACAGTAAAAACAGTTACGAAATATTAGGTATATCATATATCTGTTACATTCATTAATGAACTTCTCACGTATCACCTTTATGCCATAAATCAGTGACGGATCCAATGTCTTTTTTTTTTTTTTTTGGTAACTCACGGATCCAATGTCTATATATGAAACCTTTTAAAACATAGAAAGTGGGTAAGATCATTTAAAAAAAAAGGTTTATAATATAGGGTTAATTTGGTTAATAACCAAAAAAAAAAATAAAACATAATAACTAACCAAAAATTCTAAAATTAGTGGCTATAATTAGTGCCACATAGGAGCTTTTGCTTAGTTACTATATTTTCATTTTTTTCTTGGTTGTATTTACCAATTTTCCTATAAGATATCCGCTCTAGTTTGTTTTACCGATAACTAAACCAAAAAAATTGACCAAGAATTAAAATTATCATCAAATCACGTTCCATTATTACCTAAGATTTGTGAATCACGTGGAAAGAACGGGCTTCTCCTTTGGAACAAGTGACCACGACGTTGCATTGTCAACAATAATTGTTTTCTTGTGATCAGCAAGAATGTATGTATAAAATATGGAGTCAATATTCAAAATTAAGACCGAAAGAGTTAAATAATTTAAATCAAGCATCTATAAATAGTGACAGGCTACAACAAATCAATCAGCTCTTAATTTCTTGAATGAACGAAATGCCTCAACATGAAGGCAAAGATGAGAAGAAAGTAACTGAAGGGCAATGGACGACCGGTTTATACGATTGTCTATCCGAAGATATCTCTACATGTAAGTATACTGTATATCGTACAAATTATCTGAAAGTATTTCGTTTAAGTCATAACTATATTTTTATTTGGTATTACTTTTAAATTGGCATGAAGGTTGCTTCACATGGTTTTGTCCTTGCGTCGCATTTGGGAGGATCGTCGAGATACTTGACAAAGGAGAAACACGTACGTTCCATTCTAATTTCTACTATTCCCCTAGAGTTTACGATTCGATTGAGATCAAATTTTTGGTTGTCAAAAAACAAATAGTTGTTTTTTTATCTAACAAAATATAATTTTAGTGTATACGCAAAATGAGGCTATGTGTAAAATTCTGTCAGAAATGATAGTAATAATGTATAAGGTCCATATTGTATCAAATTTTAACTATTTCATCGCTGAAAATGCACTTATAAGAAACGAGATAAAAGAATATTTTTTACTTGTAACTGGTTAAAGAGTAGAATGGAAAATTGTATATAGGTGAAGTTTTGGATTACTGATTTCCACCTTCTGGAATTCCTGATCTGAAGTAGATGATCTATCAAATGATATATTAGAGATATCAGTCAATACATTTATTGCCAATGGAGGAAATTAATCGATGAAACC